CAAACACTTGCATTAACACTAACAACACCAGCAGCAGTCCGCCGTCAAAAGTATCAGACAACGCCGAGATGCAGGGTATCGTGGAGCGGCCACTTTTGCATTATGCTATGCCATTCTTATCATACATCACTCCCAGCTAGCTGATTATGTTGATAATGTGGACAAACAGCCGCTCTGATTAGTTACCACACTGGCCAAGCGCAGACATAATAAGCATCAGAATTGAAAAAGGCGGTTACACCCAACAGCTGCGAGAAGGAAACCATGATCTGAGCAAATGAGCTTCAGTTTTGGATAGTCTGCGGCTCAAAAGCAAGCCTGTGGCAAAACAAAAGCAGGGCAGTCTCATTGCAAAGGCTGTCGAGCAATGGTGGCACCCATGCTTGCTGAACAGCGGCGGTTTCTGGTGGTGCCAATGTTTTAGACTTCTATTTTCAGGCTCTGAAAATGCATAGAAAGGTTAAAGATAAGGTTTACTGCATAGCAAGTTTACTGCAAGTATCCGAGTCTAGAACTGCATCATAAAATTTCGTTGAAGCGGGACAATCGAAAAAAAAGTGTTAGTTGTAGTGACAATATTTATGCATTGACTCCTATGGACTGCTGACAAGGAATCGTGAATTGTTCATTGTAGCGGAAATTTTGTTGAAGCGGCGTTTGTTGTAGCGGAGTTTGACTGTATCGCGTGCACCAGCAATCACACCCCATAAAGTTGGTTTATAACAACTTATGTACTTGCGACATTTTCATAGCACGGTATGTTTGAGTTAACCGTCGCAAGTGCTTGCGCGTCCAAATTGCCGGACGTTTTCGCCCATTGGAATACACATAGCTTTGACAGTACCTGTTCGAATTAACCAGAAGTTCGTATATATATATGCAATTGTAAGCCGCCCTTTTTTTATGCTGCTCTAAATTTGGTATTTAATGATAAAAAAATGCATATTTTCTCTGTAACCTACGCCAAAGTTGAATTTTAGTGCTCAAAAAGTAACATTTTGCTGCTATAAAAATTGCTCCAACTTGAATTTCGGCTGTGGCACCCCTGCACATGATGGTTTCAAAACTGAAAGTACGCATCGTGAGCAGGTATTACGTGATGGTTGCCATCTTGTACGCATTCACTGCTGCAAAAGCACGGAATCTGCCAATCAATTATTCAGACTTTCGTGGCAGTACTTTTCTGGTAATCATTGGTAAAGAACGGAGATTATGTGGGGACCACCAAAAAGTACGACAATATTACTTCGCCGACAAAAAGCCTACGAGTGGGGCGTAGTGCTCCTTCAATCAAGTCTACTGCGTACCTTTAACAACTGCCGACTACACAAGAGTGCTGAAGCACTACCTGAGATCGCTGCCGCCTTGATTGTTGTATGGGACAGTGTTCAGCGTGTATGGCATTGCAGAAATGAAAGCAGGTCGCTGTTCTGGAGCTGAGCGATATGTGTCACGGGCACCGAGACAATCGTAGCGCTGTTGCAACCATACTGCACACTTTCGACAACCCAGATGTGCCTCCGTCTGCTGCCAGTACCTCTAGAGCATCGCTTGCAGAAAGCTCACATCATCGCGTTAACTCAACAGCCTGCTCGGTGCATCTATGCAACGTCTGAAGTGGAGTGGGCGTTAGCGGCTTGACATGACGTGTACACAAAATAGGTGAAGTGCTGCACGCAACTAGCCAGTAGACTATTGGCTCACTACAACCGCTAACGTCCGTTTCATCATTGTTTCAGTCGCTGCATGTGCAGTGTGTCCCAGACTGCAGTATTTTCGAAATGCTCCTCGGTTGGGGCCACCACGTGCTATCGGACGGCCGTGCGAGAGTGCGATTCATTTCTGAAATTTGGCTAACGGTCACAATCTCAATGCATTTGTGCTTATTGAGGTTTCATTGTCACAATCTTCCAATGTGTGTGTGTGTGTGTGTGCGTTGGGTGGAGCAGCTGTGCCAATTGGGCCAAATTCACCTATCAGCGCTGTACTGCGCTGCAGCAGCAGAATTAAGCCGAAAAGTGCGAAAGCTATCAAGCGCAGTGTCTGGAAAAGTGGCTGAAACATTCTTTTTGTTTGATCGAAACGGTTAGTGTCAATGAGGAAAAATGGGGTGGTTCGTTTTGCTGCATACTGAAGCTTTAGCGCACACCCATGACACAGACGAAGTGAACACAAGGACCTGCGCTGGTCTTTGTGAATTCTTTTTGTTTGAGTTGTCGTGTGTGTGTGTTGAAGCTTCAGTATGGTTATAGTTAGGGTTTCGTAGAAGCTGTGATCGTTTCAGGAGCAGCTGTGAACTTGTGGTCATGATCACTATGCGCGCGAGATCATGGCAGGCATCAGCACGAGTAGATGTGTGAATTCTTTTTGTTTGAGTTGTCGTGTGTGTGTGTTGAAGCTTCAGTATGGTTATAGTTAGGGTTTCGTAGAAGCTGTGATCGTTTCAGGAGCAGCTGTGAACTTGTGGTCATGATCACTATGCGCGCGAGATCATGGCAGGCATCAGCACGAGTAGATGTGAACCCTTCCACGTGCTGTGCTCTTAGCCCGAAGAGACCGTGAGAAGAGCATCTCTTCACGTTCTGTAATACAATATCGGATCTAAGAGAGCAGTCCATTTGTTGCAATGGGATTCGTTGCTTAGCCATTCCAATGAATAAATGAAATGAATTTTATTTGGACCAGGCTTTTTGTACTTCAGCCCTAAAGTGGGTGGCCTCCTCAGTCCAGGTAGCCATAGCTTGCTGCCGCCGCCCGAGCCCGGTTCACCAATCATAGCTGGTTGTCAGGGTCTTGCGATGTGAGCTCCAGAGACAGTGGTTTAAAGAAAGAGATCTAGCAGCCCTGGGGTTCGCCCCGTTCTTGGCGAAGAGCGGACAGCATCGAACGCAGTGCTTGTATTCAGTCTTCTTCCTAACGATTAAAAGCTTTTCCTCCCTTTCGGCCCGTATCGTCTGCTCACAGCGTCACCAGTGAAGCCTCCCACTGGTCTTTGAATATTTCCTCTGGATCTGGTTCTTTCTCTTGGTGTTCGTTCGGCGGTGACGACGGTGGTTTATCCGGATTGTTACGACACTCCAGCACCATGTGGCCCAGTGTTGCACGTGTCCGGTGGGCAAAGCTTAGTCCCGTCTGATGGCCCCTGAATACATTGCATGCATCGATGTTCCAGCTTGTAGTTTCCTCCATGTCACTGCTTGTTCCCTATTCGGACTTGTGTGCCCGCGGTTTACTGCTTCCTGTAGTGAGCCAAAATGTCTGCGTACTTCGGTATGTGCTCATGCTCGTCGTGACAGCCTTTGGTACGTTTTCCCTGCGTGCCTGAGATGATTGGCCTGCATAATCTCCAGGGGGGCACGCCACCTGGTTCCCCACGAGAGATTCGTGTCCCGGTGTCTAAAGGATGGTTGTTTCATCCATCTTAATGCTTTTAAGACATGCAGTGCTGTCTTTCCAATCCCTCCGTTCATGTTTATAGTTAATCAAGCGACACCTGCCCTTCCCCCCTTCCCCTTGCTCGTTTTTTTTAATGCTCTTCCAATAGGAACGGAGTGCGTCCTCTCTGCTTCGACAACAGGCCTCCGGGGCAGGGGCATGGGATGCTATCGCCTGCGCCCTCCAAGCAGCGGAGGTGGGCCGAATCGTTTGACTTCTGCTTCAGCCGTGTTAGTCGCCCCGCTTGCACGCTATTTCTTGCAATAGCACATAGATGCGTGGGAGTTTATCAATTTGGAATTTATATGGGGCATTGCGGCAACAGCAAAAACCCGTTGGTAGTGTCCATATAATTTTTATTGCAATAATGATCAGGCTATTGCACAATTTAACATGCAGCATTAAACAAATGCAGCTTCATAGGTGCTTTGGCAGGGGCTTATTCTGCTCTGAATGTTTTAACTGCTATAAACTTGCTCGAAAAGGCCATTGTGGCTGCTCCAAACCTTTTCCAAAACTTCTTTTTGGCAGCTCCAAGCCTTTTTCCTGCTCCTAGGGCTGCTTGTTCCACCCCTGGCACACGTGCGCAAAGGCGTGCACAGGGTGCACCTTCAGGGGGGAGGCGAAGTTCGTCACAGCGCTCCCTTACCATGTCAACGTACGGGCTGGGCTGACTTTGCACCTCCCCTGTTTGTTATGACAATGTATGGAGGAAGATTTGCGTTCCCGTCTCGTGCGTGCACTGCTATGAACTAACGTGCTTCAACTAGCTTATTGGTGCAATGTGAGTATTGTTGAGTGCAGATACAGTTATTTAGTTTGCTCTGTGTTATTTGTTCCACTGCTCTATCTATATATTCAAATTTTTTTTTAATTTTTTCTGTTCTAAATAAACTCTATTTGTAAGAGCTTGAATTACCAAACTGCTGCCATGTATGTGGGTCCTCAAGCTTTCTCAAGTGTTGTTTTTAACCGCTTTTTTGCCTGAGGGATCCTCAACTTGTTCGAAGAAAGCATGTTGGAAATATTGACCCGATTTGATTTTGATTTGATATCCTTCACTGTTTTATATCATCGCTTCTGTAGGTGATCTTGCTTTTGTTCATTTTTATGCTTATTTTGTGGGCTTGCTGCTTTTCTGTGAATCATTATGCAAACTGACGGAAAATTAAAGCTAAATTTGTTGCCTCTGTATGTATCAAGAAAAGCCTGTGCATGCTCCAAGAGTTAGCAGCCCCAAAAGCAGATTTTGCCTGCTCCAATGGCTGCTCCAAATAGCTGGAAGGTATTTCTACCTCTATCATTACTATAACAGGATTAGATAACGTTGTATGAATGCTCTTGTGCTCAGTTTACTGTCTCAGCTCAGTTTACTGTCTTAGCTAATGAACTATCGGCATACCGTTCTCTCAGGATTGCATGATCAGAAAAAAAAAATATTGAAAGGAAAAGTGCCATCTTGTACTCCAAAAAGTATGGTAATGGTTGCTCTAGAAAGGTGTTCTCAGTGTGATGCTTCTTTGATGAGTGCAAAAGTACCTGAACAACCTTTCTAACGATTACAGCAGGGACCGTGGTGATGGTGAAGTCAGAAGAGGTGGTCGTGGAGGTGGCCTTGGTGGCCGTGGGGGATATCCTCGCCGTGGCCGCGGAGGCTTTGCTCCCGAGGGAGGCCGGGGTGGTGGCTTTGGTGGTCGGGGAGGAGGTTATGACGGGCGTGGCAAGAGGGAGTTTGAGCGCCAGAGCGGCAGCGACCGCAGGTGAGGAGTTCGAGAACCGCCACGACGAGTGCTCGGGTTGTTTGACAAGCTTAATGATCATCACCCCTGTTTCAGTGGAGTGAAGCCTGTCGACAAGAAGGGTGGCGAAGGGTCCTACAACTGGGGAACGGTCAACGACGACTTGGAGTGAGTGTGCATGCTTCTGTTTGATAGATCACTGCAGTGTGCTTGCTGCGTTCTACCAGCAGCGTGCACTAGTTTGTAGTGCACATGATATTGAGTTCCTAGTGGGGGAGCATGACCTGAACTGAAGGAAAGCGCTATTCCAGTTGTGCTTTTTTAAAATTTGAGACCTGTATGCACATGCTTGATTGGCAGTTATCCTAGATGGTGTTGCAGTGGCCATATCTCAAATATTCAAAGCTTTTCAATTTGTGGTTTTTCAATCGAATACCAATATAATTGCAATATTCGACAAATATTCAAAACTCAAATATTCACACACCCCTAATGCTAATTTTTCTTTATACTATGCAATATGTATTGCAGTTGAAACTCGGACGAAATAGAAAGATCAGCAAACTATTTAGTTGAATCGGGAAGCAAAAATAGCTTAAGGGCACCTCTGGGTGAAATGTGAATTTGTGCATTCATTTGAGGTATTCACGTAATCTAGTTTAGAAAGATTGAGTTTGAGGGGGGACGCGGCTTTGGGGTCGCGAAAAATGGCAAAAAAATCGATTTTTCGAAACTAAAGTTTCCAGTTTCTGGAACCCTTTTTCTATCTGGTTCCAAAATATCTACACTGAAAACCGTGCAGAAGTGCTTCGGAAAATTCGTTTCACCCACCTAGGTAGCAAAAATTTTTCTGGAAATGGCGAGAAAACGGCGATTTTCAAAAAATTCTAGCTTCGCGATGCTTAGACCGGGAGCCGGCTTCTTGGGCTTATCGAAAAGAGCATTTCTTCGTGTTTAACTTTCCCGCCTCACCTGGCTCCTCCCTTTAACAACAAGCGAGCAAAAAGCAAATGTTTGAAGGTCGTTTCGACGCCCTTGATTGGCCGTGGCCGCCATGTTGCCTCAGATCGTCGTCTGCTGCTTGTGCGTCGCGAGGACATGGCTCTCGAAAATCGCCACTTCGTGACGTGTTCACGACTTGATAATCACTTAAGATATAACTACGTTTTGGTTACGAGCAGTAAGCGGATGCGCGATCAGGTTACTACGAGCGTCAGCGCGGTCTACGAGCGCCGCGCGTCATTGGAGTCGTCTTTAGCCCTAACTCCGCCGACTGCGGGCAGGAACGACGTGCTTCTTCGCAAGCAACGAATCTGTAAGCAGCGGCACGATCTTATTACTACGAGTGGCCGCACCGGATGCACGATCAAATTACTACGAGCGGGCGCGCGGCGGTCTACGAGTGCGGCGCGTCATCGGAGTCGGCTTTAGGCCTAACTCCGCTGACAGCGAGACTGCGGGCAAAAACGACGCGCAAGCGCACTCTTGGTGACGTGCTTCTTCGCAAGGAATGTACCACATCACTCGCTAGCTCCTCTGAATATTGTACGGGCATTTTACGCATCGGTAGCGGACAACACAGTCAAGCTCGTCACCCCCCCCCCCCCCCCTTCACTGCCAAGGATCGCTCGGAACAGCGGCTAGCAGTTTCGCCCGTCGTCATTCGAAAATGCGATGCCAAGTGTAGTGCATGCCGATTTTTTGTCTTCGTAGTTATACATTTTGCGCATCGTCATCGAACGCCGCCGGCAAGTGCATTTACAAGTGCATTTACGCGCCGGCTGCACTGTCCACGTGGCCGCGCACCCCACGGTCATATGGAGTGCTGTCAGTAAGCTTTTGTGATGCGATTCAGACGTGCTTGGAGCCGTGCTTGATATCGCCACGAACGTCTATGAATGTGCCGAGGTTAATGAATTGCTGTAGATTAGTTTCCGCGACCGGCTGTAAGATGATGCATTTCACGGCTAGAGCGGCGAAAGAGCATGTGTGAATCAGGGGCTCGAATTTATATATGACCGTTTCGTGTCATTAACTATACTGCTAGAAATTCCCGTGCCACCAGTCTTCTGCCCATAACTTTGTTATTTAGAAGGAAGGCATAGGCCGTCATGATGTGATCCATTTTTCTGATGCAATAAACTTCTCTCCTAATAAAAAAAAGTTCAGTGAATATTTGTAATCAAGTACTTAACTACGCTAATTACAACTTCAGCACAAAAAAAAGTATGTGTAATAATTTCAGTATATGGTTTTATTCAATTACAATCTTTTCTGTCATACCTATCACACCACTCCTTCATACAAAGAACTTGGTTTGAAATCCATACTTGTTTTTTGTAACTCATGAAAAGGAGTAAATCATGAAAAGAAGTCAAATATCACAAGACAAACCTGAGATCACAATTTTTAGGGGTCTTACAGAGACGTAAAGAAAAGTTGAAGCTTTAAACGCAGCTTTCTCAATACTGTTTTTTCTTTACATTATGCTCAGCCCCTCCACATGGTTCAATTAAGAAATTATTTGTTTCTCGTAAAGTATTCGTGGTATCGCTTCAAAATTTTTATGGAAGCACTGTGAGGTTATTTTTAGTGTCTGTGCCATTTTTCATCAATATTCAACGAGAAACAAAAAAGTTCATTGAAAAAAGCCTGTCGAAAACTTCGACAGGCTTTTTCTCACAAGTGTGTTTTGGACATTGCGCATTGCTCGTGGAAAGAGTAGCACGAGAATGACTGGACCGATTTTGATTGTTTTTTTTTCCTGAATCCCTGAACACTGCTTGTGGGTACAGCAATGTTCAATTTCTGTTTTGTGGCCCCGTTATTTTTCTAAACGATGATTTGTCTGTGCCATTGTTTCTGACATTGTGTGTCGGCAGCCATGATGATCTCTAAAAAAAAAGAACTTATTAAAAAATTCCGAGTGTCATACCCTGTAGCTTTCTTTTGAGTAAAGATCAACACCATTCGCAGCTTCCTGGCATGTTTTGTTGCAGCGCTAGGCTTTCCACGAGCAGACCATGTAATTGGATCGTGTAGCATTATGTAACTTGAGAACTACTGAAGCTATCATGATGAAACTGCATATTTCCCTATTCTAGACACTTATGAGTATGCATGCCAAATTTCATTGCTGTAGGTCAACAAATAAAAGTTTTTTTTCAAAGCCACCTCCCCCCTTAAGCTTGTTCAAATTCGATTGAAAATATGACCAAATGACTATTTGAACAAGCCTGGACTAATACTTATTTTCTGCACTCCCAGTTTTTGCACTCCCAGACAAGGTTTCCTTTTCATTGCGTTTTCCTTCTGCTAAATATAGATCTGTGTATAGATGAAAGGTTTGGGTTTCATGGCACTCTGGAAAAGCTCATCCACCCCTGACCCCCCCCTCCCCCATTTTTGAAGCGAAGCAGCTCTTTGACTAGCCTGTCTAACGCCGTTCCTCCGTACGAACGTGTTGCAGTTGTTAGCACGGTCCCAAGTAAGTCATGCTGCTGCTGCACGTTGTTGTCATGCTCCCCTCGCAGTGCGCACTTTCGTCACTCTCCCACGCCTGCCGCGCGCTGCCTTGGCGCACACAGCTGCCGCCTCGTCTGTTCATCCGCAACACCGCCGACTCGCCAGGTTTACGCGCAGTAAACCTGACGCATGCCTAATGTATGCATTGAAACATGTCTGCACGTGTCACCTACAAGACCTACATTGGCCATCGCTTCAGACGAATCTTCCAGCTCTCACCGCAACACTCACGTTAGGGCCGTTCAACCCGTGATGCCACCTGTGCACAATGTTGCTGCTTTGCATCCCATTGGGGTTCCCTTTGGGAAGATGTTACTTTTTTCTTTTTTTGCTCTTTTGTAAGCTTGTCCCTCCCAAGGTACACTCCAAGGCTTGGAGGCCGGCACAGTGGCCTCCTTGTCCAAGCCTTGTGGGAGCACATTGAAAGGCCTGTGTGTGTAGGGAGGTTAGCTTCACACTTTGGCTACCTCCCAAGGGTAAAGCAGGCACACTGCATGCTATGCGGGGCAACAAGTGCCAGTGGCATAGGGCTCTTGCAGGCCAGTTCAAAATAATAAGGGGATCAGAAAGTGTACAGTTAGATACAACCTTCGAAATGGGCTGACTGGGCTAGTTGGTTGTGCATACTTGAGGTTAACAGTGCGAAAAAAAAAACACACGGCGGACAGTAAAAAGACAGGACAAGCGCCGACTTCCAACTGAAATTTTATTGACAAGAGTGAACAGAAAAAACAGCCAAAAAAAAGACAATGCGAAGATACGAAATATCAACAATCACTGAGCCAGTTACCGCTACCCTTGCACCCTAACAAACATAGCTCTCTTTCTGACAGAGCAACTGATAGCTTGCTTACGCATGCGTTCCTTTCAAGCGCCATCTGAACAGCCTCATAGATTATTATACGCTCGTGCTCTGATTTAATGTTACCTAGAACTGTTGCCCCTTTGAACTGCAGAGTGCACCCTTACGTGTAGCGTGAGGAAACCATCTTTGTCATTACCAAGGTTATTGGAGGGTTCCCGTTAGTGTTCATTTAGGCATCTGCCTATATGGCCCACATAACATGCACTGCAAGACAATGGGATCCTGTACACAACGTTTAGCGCACAGTCTACAAACTGTGTCCTGTGCCACGGTATTAGAACTACTTTAGGTGGATTGACGGCACTTCCAGAGGGAAGAACTTCTGTCCCTATTTTGCGGAGAGGGCCCGAGATGGGGCCACAACGACCGTGGCTCAGGCGCAGGTCGTGAAAGCAACTCAAGGACAAAAAAAAAAAGAACTTGTGCCTTCGTTTAATAAGTGCAAAAGTAAATAAATTAATAAAAGAGGCAAACAATTACATTTTCACGATACGGCAGATAGCCGCAGAAAATTTTTTATAATTAAAATGATGAAATTGGAGAGGTTGGTGCCATTATCGTGGCACTGGTTACTCATTTTTTCTTTGTAGACAAGATATGTGGAATGTTCAATTCACCACATCGAAGGTTCGCATCGGAGCATATGTTTTCGCATTCACAAACGTCAGATCGTGAATTCAAACATGCGATGGTAAAATCCCATGTAATTATGACAAAAGTTTGTTCTTGGTTGAAGCATTGTTCACGTTGTAGTTAGACAAGAATAACTTATTAATCGAAGTCTAGCAGTAGAAAACCATAATTTCGATTTTTGTCGCGGCAGTCGCACTTTGATGCAGGCCTGAGGGCTGTGTGATGAAAAGCGTGTTAACTTGAGCTTCTTGGTGCATATTTAAAAGGAAAAATAAAAAACTGCACAAAACACGGGACAGACGAAACATTATTCGGTGATGCCAGTGCACGTTACAGAACACCACGCTGTCGAGAATTCCGGAGCCTTTCACTATGGCGTGCCTCATATTTATATCGTGGTTTCAGGGCATAACACCGCAGGTTTTCTCATTGTTAACAAGCATGGTTCTCGCTTGGGTAGAGAAGGATGGCACATGTAGATCTGTAGAAATTTTTTAAAGCAAAGGAACAACTCTCAACTCTAAGACGGCACATCTTATTACAGAGATGTAGATACATTCATATTTAAACGGCCACAAACAGAAAAGGACAGCACTTCAACTAAAAAGGAAACCAGCTAGTATTGAAGACGCATGTGAAAATAAAGCGATGCATTTTGACTTCGAGGTAACAACTTTTGAAGCTTGTTAGCCTCATTCGTTTGCAATATTGGCGCAAACGCACTCCTTCATAATGGTAGGGCACTTGTGCCGTTATTCATGTCTACTTTATGTTCCTTTCATATAAATGAGAGGTTGTAGTTATCTAACGCAAATTCAATAGTCAAATGATACACTTCCTTATCGCTGCCATGCTTCCGAAATTTTCGCTCACCTTCTTTCAAAATTTCAAATAGCGTGGCATTAGGGTGCATAAGTCCTCTTGTCTTCAAAACTGTGCTTTTGTCGCAGCGATTGTCGTTCCCACAATCGCTGTGGACGAAACCGCAGTCTTTCGACACGATCATGTATGGTAACGCCGTTACTGACAGAACTTTGAAAGTGTGTTCTCAACCAGTCAAAGCAGCAGTTGCGATCATGGATAGCATGAAATGACTTAGTTTTCAAGACACGTAGATTGAAAACATAACGGCCGTTTGTCGCAAGCGCCACGCGCAAAACCGTGATCACATCGATGCGATAGGGATCTATGAGCTCAAAGGGCACGTGGCTCACACAGCGGTAAAGAAAGGCAGTAAAGACGTAAAAATCGCTAATGCGTTTTGGCGTTCCTGTCAAAAGAATCTCGTAGCTAGCAAAGCCAAGGTTTCACCCGCGGTTTCGTGGCAGCCAGCTGCGCCGTCCCATCCACTCACGTGTGAACACATACGCGAGTTGTTTTGACGAAAATCTATTTTTTCGATAGTTGTTTTTGATGTCTCAATTTCGGGAGCATTTGCACTCGACCTTTGAGGCTCTCACTTGGAAAACCCTACCCCCATGTGTGTGGCCACTCCAAGCCTTTGTGAGATCGCATCGCCAATGTTTGTGCATGCTTTTGGAAACCCCCCCCCCCCCTTCCTTGTTTTTTGCAGTTTTTTTTGTGTTCTTTTTTTTGCCAAAAATGGAGGGGGGTGATAATTCAGCACGTTGATATGGTTTATGGCGGCGAAACATGATTATGCTTGTTGCTAAAGCAAAGTCCATCTCTGTTACAAATAACAAACACAGTCGGTAACACCCCTTCCCTGCTCGGGTGTTTCACGAATTTCTCTTTTGTCAGGTTGGCAGCAATACTTTTTTGAAGACTAGTTGATTCATACTTGAAAAATTGGAAGGGAGGGATGGCGTAGTCTATCGTATTCGTAGTCTATCGAATACGAATCCAATATATGGAAGGGAGGGAAAAGGCAAGTCCTGTTTCTGTTGATCGCAAGTGCAAACATGACCTTGTGCAGAGTCCAGCTGAGTCCTTTTGGCGACGAGAGCACGACTGAAGCGGCAGAAAAAAGTGGTGACGAGACAGCGGCTGGCGAGAATACTGCGGACACCAGGTTTGTACTTTATCTCTCTTTTGAAGTTATTGATTTTTACAAAATTGCTCAAATTTATCCACAATTGATTGGTTAGCATTATTTTACAGTCTGTATATTGAAGTACTGTTATGATTTGGCAGAAGTCTTGGCTGGTTTGGGTAGAAACTGAATGAATGAGAGAACTCCTGCCAAAACATATTTTAGGAAGAACCCGACGTTTCGAAGTCCCTATGGCTTCCTCAAAAGTGAGAAGGCCCGAGATGTGTGGCACTTGTGCTGTGCGTTCATGTACGTAATCTCTGCGTGCCGATGAAATTATATCACGGTAACTATTTGGGTCACTACAGCATTTAGTTGCCTTATGCTCAACTGCTTTTGTCAGTGAAAATTAGTGCTGAGTAGCAGGGTATGAGTGTTACTTTATTTAGTCGCCTCTGAAATGCCAGAAGATTGTCAGATTGCCATTGTTTCAGCTACCCATGTTCTTGGCCATGATGGTCTCTGAACCAAATCATGCATACATACGTTCGCAAGTTCCACACTGACTGGCTGGTCATGTGCATCGTATTCATTTCATTGCCAACACCTCGGCGCCGGAACGGCAAACTAATCTTAGCACAGTCCTCCCCCCTTTGTTAATGGATACAAACAATTGTTTAAGGTGAGTAGCGCGATACTGGTCGTAGACAGTTTTCCTTTGCCATGTCTTCGCTGGTATTTCGCCTAGACTCGATGTCGTAAAGGCGATTTGGAGTTAGCTGCCTCTGACCCACGTCCAAACTTGGAGCAAGACCTGTAGCTACTGGGCTGCCTGACTTTTGGTTGTCTGCACTCTGTTCCTCTTAGGGCTTGCGGATGCGATCCTTGATGTCGAGTGCAACGCATTCCGTCCTCTAGTAGAGCATTCATGGACAAAGTGCATTCGAAGACAAACTGCAGGGAGCCTTGCAGAACCTGGGCGGAAGTTTCTTGCGAACATCTGGTCACCAAGATGACCCAAAACCACGAGTCATGTTCCTTACTCACATCTGATTTCCTGCTCAAGTTGCTTCTGTAGCACCTTAACCTTGAGGTGTGGGTGTAGCAGGTTCAATGCAGTCCTCAACTTCCGCTCCAACAGCAGCTTCGACGGACAGCATTTCGTGACGTCGTGAGGCGTTGACCTGTAAGTCGAGAGCATTCGAGCCATTTGAGTGCGAATATCTCCAGGGCGAGCCTTAAACAACTTATTTTTGATAGTCTGCACTGCCCTCTATGCAGTACCGTTTGACGCTTAATGATACGGCGGCACCAGCATTCGCCTCACCCTGTTTTTTTTTAGGAATGTGGAGTAGAGCTCACTGGTAAATGCTAGCCCATTATTTGAGCATACCTGGAAAGCCCTGGTTTGTGAACCTAATTCTCAAGCAGGAAATAGTTGCTTCAGCCGAGGTAAGGGGGGGGGGGGGGTGTTCTGTACTCCTTCCAGTATTAAGGGGGGACGTGGCAAGTAAAACTAATTTTTTTATTAATGTACTGTTTGTGATGAAATTTGGTGTGTGTATGTGGATGATTGTGAGGATTCCAAATATGAAAACCGTTTTCAAATACCTCTTGTACTTTTTGAGTTACAAGCATAATTATACTAATTAATGCTCTTCACACTTAAAGAGATAATTATTGCTAAATGAAATTATTTTTTCATATTATTATGTTCCCAAAGCATCAACTTGTGCAAAGAAGCTATTAGTTGATTTTTCTAGTTCTTGTAACCATAAATAAAATTTCCAAAACATGGATGTTGTTTTGCGCACACATCGCAGTAATTATAAAATGTGTTCTAAAAATTTTAAATGATGAGTAAGAAGAGAGATAAAGCTTTATTGCACTGCTAAAGGCCTCCTGAGCCTAGTGCAAAAAACGGAACGACTCTATCAGTCTTTGTTAAAAAATGACAGATGTTCTAGCGAAGGCACATAGGCGAAAATCAAGAGTTGAGAAAACTGACTTTGAAAGTTCACTCTTGTTTGGAAGTTCACAACATGCCTAAAACACTCAGAATCCTCCTGGGCAGTAATCCTGAGATGCTGTGGCCTTGGCCTCTGTAGAGCGCAACCCAGTTTTGCGCTTCTTTGTCGTGGAACAATGCGCCTTTTGAGCCCTCTTCACCCTTTTGGCATCCTTTTCGGCTGCTCGCCGCAAAGAGCAGTCTCCTGGATTGAAGCCCAGTTGAGCAGTGATCTCTTGCAGCGCACTCTTGCAGCCACCATTGAAACGGCAGACTGCATCTGCAACTGCACTTTCCACACTTCGAAGGGAGGCGAACTGGCTCTTGGACTGGAGTGACCAAATGAGGCTGTTCATACTCTCCACAGCGTTCTGGGTTTTTCCCTGCGCACACCTTTCAAGGAGCTCTTTGTTCGAGAGGCGCTTGTAGATTGGCAGCAGTGCCACTCGCACGTGAGGGGGCAGTTTATGTTTGTGAGGCGGCAGCGGCTCTCCCTTGGCCAATGCCTGATTGTGCGGGCACCAGGAGTCAGTCCCACTTGGGCACAGGTCGTGGTGTGGATCCTGGTCTGTGGATGTTACATGGTAATAAGTGGCCATGATGGCCCTCTCCATGCCAGGAACATCGTTGGGGTGGCTCTTAATGGCCCAGCCATAATAATTCGTCAACTTCTTTATAAGGCCCTGCGTCAGCCGGCCTTTGCCACCCATGCTCAGTCCTCGGCCTTTGGATTTGTGCTCATCAAGAAGGTTGCGCAAGGAAGTGCCCATTCTTTTTTTCACATGGTTCACACACTCCTGTTTCTTAATCAACATGTAGCCATACACCTTGTCTTGCGTGAGGGCAAGGTACGTACGGCTGTCACCGTCGCAGAGCACATTGATGTATCGAAGCTTGTACTTGGTAAACGATCTTTCAAACATGATCCTCGCTGCTTCTACTTCCATTTGGCCTGCATTAGCATCGGTGTTCTTTTGGCACTGTGGCTTGTGTTTCTCAAGCCACTCCTCATAGTTGTCGTCACCAGGCTTGGGGCCAACAGCACAGCCTTGGCAGTAGTTGGACAGGACACAGTGGTCCAAGACCAAGCCTGTGTACAGCTCGATTACACAGCCCACGCCAATATGACTTCTGTGCCCCCTCGTCATCCACGTGCCGTCGTAAATGACGTCAATGTTGCCTGGCACTCCTCCTAGGTCCTTGTAAATGTCATGCACCTTCTGTGCACTTTCTGCTTCAATGCGGGTGGCAGCTGATGTGGTGGCAGGGTGGCTGTACTTCCTTTGCAGTCTCTGGTAGGACTTGTGGTGCAGTGCTCGATGCGAAATGTCCATCGCAGAAAAAATGTCATTTATGGCAGATTGTTTTCTGCCAACTGACTGCACAGCCCTCAAAGCACGCACGTTTACCTCAAAGGGGTTCGTTTTTTGTTGCCCGGAGCACCTCGGGGACGACCACGCACTGTTCACTATGCCACAATTGTCACAAAAAAGTTCCATCCTCGCCGCGAGTCCAAGGCAGTGCGTAGTCTCGAGGCGTATCGACCCTTCGTCGCACTTGTTGCACTTTACTGATGAAAGCAGACCGTTCAGCATCTTCTTATTTACAATGAAGAATGTGGAGTCCTTACCGCCGTCATTTTCGTCGCAGCCTTCGTTCAGAAGCTCGAGCTTCCGCTTTGAAGCGGACTTCGATGCTACGGCATCCAAAACATCCCGCCTTGTCTGCGCCCGCTGCGCGATTTCTTCACTGCTCGGAATCTGGACCGAAACTCGCGATAGAATGTTCGACGCGCGCACGCCCGGAGTTGCAACGGCTGCCGACGCGGTGCCACCGCAATTGGGTTCGCGAGAGCGTCCATCACGGTCGACGGCATCCGGCGGTCTGACATACGACGATGTGGCACATTCCACACTCTCGGCCTCACAACAATCAGCGAAGGGTCTGAGTAGAGGCTCCGTGACGCTTGAAGAGCATGCTCCGTTCGGAACTGCGACTGGGACGGCAGCCGCAGTCGTCTGCCCTTTGTTCCAAGTTTTCCGACGCTTGCCGTACTTGTGGACGCTCCGGAACTTTTTTTGCGACAACATAGCACCGCAGTATGAGCAAGCACTCAGAAGAGACCACTGATGTAAACAAAGCTTGGTAAAAAAAGCACGCGAACTATCACAAAAACAGCCAACTGGCAAAAAACGAAGCGCACGCCGGATGATTCTCGACTCGGCGGCTGCAGATGCGCTCGCGCTTCCAAGGTTGCCAAGGTGCGCGGCACAGCTTTGACCAGTAAGAGGTCGCGCCTGCTACCACGTGACCCGCGCAGCCAATTGCCGTTCTTCGTTTTCGTTTTTTTACTTGCTCCTCGCGCTTTTATTTTCACTCGGCGAAATACGAGACCGCGACCATCGGGAAGCCGGCTTTCTCCTCTTTCCAAAGCTACCAAAATGGCGGCCCACGGTCAACAACTTGGCGCGTTTGTGCGGCGTGAAACACACCGTTTCAGGGGCTTTTTTTTCGCACTTTTCGGCGACTAGCCTCGGCAAAAGCACTATTTGCGGGATTTGTAGCGCACGTTTCGCTGTAATATTTTAGAACAAGGAAGTTGAAGGTCTGAAGATTACGAAAAAAAATAAATCAGAAAATCGCATATTTTGACCAAAATCGGCACTTTACTTGCCGCGCCCCCCCTTAACACTTCAGCAAGGCAGTCACCAACAAATTCGGCAGTTGGCAGAGGCAGCCGGCCTAACTGTCATGACTAAGAGGGCACGAGGCGCATGCCGGGCGCTGGAATGCGGCGCACATTCGCAAGACCCCAGATGGTGTGAACACGCGCCACGTTGACGTATGAGATTGAACAAAAAGGCTTGTGCCATGCGATCCTGGACGTAATAGGCGATCCCGGAGGATGAACTGTTACTGTGCATTGGGGCTTCGAACTGCAAAAGTCAAGAAGGCCAGCGTCGCTATTGTGACGGAAGTAGTAGAGCTGCCCAGTTCTGAGGCTGTCGATGAAGAGGCTCGGGGAGGTGGC